AGGTTATAAGCAGATTTCTCATCAGAAACTTTGGAGGCCAGAAGTCAGCCAATACATTCAAAGCATTAAAAAGAAAAAAAAAAAACAAAACTTTCAACCAAGAATCCTATATCTGTTAAAACTGTCCTTCAAAAGTGAGGGAAAAATTAAGACATTCCCAAATAAACAAAAGTGGAGGGAGTTTGTTACCACTAGACCTGCCTTGAAAGAAATGTTCAAGGGTGCAGTGTGAAATGAAAGGACATTACACAGAAATTCAAAGGCATAAAAATAAATAAAGATGTGATGAGCACTAGCTATCATATACAACTCATGAATCATTGAAAAACTAATGATGTATTATATGTTGGTTAATTGAATTTAAATTAAAAAAAGAAATAAAGATCAGAGTACAGGTAAAAACACAGGGAATTATAAAAGCTATTACTACTATAACAATGATTTGTAACTCCACTTTCTGTTTTTCTATATGATTTAAGAGAATAATGGTTTAAAAAAAACAATTATTTGTCTAAAAGCTAGTATTGTTGTAACTTCCGTTTGTACTCCACATTTTGTTTTCTCCATAATTTAAGAGACTAATGCATTTAAATGAATTATTGCTGGAGTGGAGGGGGGTGGGAGGGATGGGCTGGCTGGGTGATGGACACTGGGGAGGGTATGTGTTGTGGGGAGTGCTGTGAATTGTGTAAGACTGATGAATCACAGACCTGTACCCCTGAAACAATACATTATATGTTAATAATAAAAAAATAAAAGAATCACAAAAGAATTATTACTTTATGTTTTTGGGCACAGACTGTATAAAGATGTCATATGGGGACATCAACAACTGAAAGGGCTGGGGATGGAGCTGTAAAGGAGCAGAGCTCTTGTATGTTATTGAAGTTAATCCAAATCTGAATTAGAGAGTTATAACTTTAGGATGTTAAATATAACTCCTTTAACCACGCACACACACAAACACACACAAGTTGCTATAGAATATACACAGAAGAAAATAAGTAATTTCAACATTTCACAATAAAAAAAATCAGGGCGCCTGGGTGGCTCAGTTGGTTAAGCGACTGCCTTCGGCTCAGGTCATGATCCTGGAGTCCCTGGATCAGTCCCGCATCAGGCTCCCTGCTCGGC